CCTTTAGAGTAGAAGATCCCCAGATTGACAGTTCCCTTGACATCCCTCAATATCTTCTTCACTGTTTGAAGATGGGACTGTTTTGGTTTGGCCTGATAACGAGCACACACACCGACGCTGAAGCATAAGTCAGGCCGACTTGCTGTAAGGTAAAGCAAGCTTCCAATCATTCCTCTGTATAGCTTCACATCAACATCTTCTCCATGTTCATCCTTTCCAATCTTAGTGGTTGTGCTCATTGGTGTTCTTGCCTCCTTGCACTTTTCAAGACCAAACTTCACCAGCAGATTCTTAGCATAAGTACTTTGAGAGATAAAGATACCTTCCTCAGTCTGATTTACTTGAAGTCCAAGAAAGTACTTCAATTCTCCCACCATGCTCATCTTAAACTCCTTTGTCATACTCTTCACGAAGTTTTGCACCAGCTTCTCTGAAGTTCCTCCAAAGATGATATCATCCTCATAGATCTGCACCATGATCATATCATCTTCCTTCTCAAGTATGAACAGAGTCTTGTCCACTGTTCCTCTGATGTAGCCTGTGTCAGTCAGGAACTTCGTCAATCGCTCATACCAAGCCCTTGGAGCCTGTTTCAGTCCGTAAAGTGCTTTCTTCAGCTTGTACACATAATCAGGATGCGTAGGATCTTCAAATCCCTTCGGCTGAGCTACATATACTTCCTCTTGTAGAATGCTATTCAAGAAAGCACTCTTCTTACCCATCTGATGTACTTTGAAGTTCAGTATGCAGGCCATACCCAAGAACAGTCTGATAGACTCCAATCGTGCTACAGGGGCAAAAGTTTCATCAAAGTCAACACCTTCAACTTGTGAGTAACCCTGAGCAACAAGTCTTGACTTATTTCGCACAACACTGCCAACATCATCTGTCTTATTCTTGAATATCCATTTTGTGCCGACCACATTCACACCATCAGGTAGAGGCACCAGTTCCCAGACATCGTTTCTCACAAACTCCTCAAGTTCATCTTCCATGGAGATGATCCAGTCTGCATCATCAAGTGCTTCAAGGTGGTTCCGAGGCTCTATGGTTGACACAAAGCATTCAAACTGAATTATTGCCATACTGACCATTTGCTTGTAATTCAGCCTTATTCCTCTTGTCTTTCGTCCATCATTTATGTCGCCAATCAGATCACTTGATGAGTGATTTCTATGAACTTGAGTCACTGGGTGTTCTACGGCAACCACCGTGTCAGGCACTTCTTCAACCTTCTCGTCATCCTCAGGCTTGTCTGGATTGGAATCCTCTTCATGTACTTCAGCTCGTTCTTCAACCTTCTCTTCATCCTCAGGCTTGTCTGGATTGGGATCCTCTTCATGTACTTCAGCTCGCCTGGGTTCTGGATCATAATACAGTGGTAAGTCTCCCATAATTGCGATTGACCGATCATCAAATACCACGTTGACCGATTCCATTATGATCTTGGACCGAAGGTTGAACACTCTGAAAGCTGAACTGTTGCTGAATAACCCAGAAAGATTCCTTCATCACTCCTTGAGTCAAACTTCCCAAATTGGTCCTTGTCACTCAGAATATAACACCTGCATCCAAAGACACGAAAGTAACTTAGATTAGGTATTTTTCCTTTCCAAAACTCATAAGGTGTTTTGAGTGAATCCTTTCGAATGTAGACACGGTTTATGATGTAGCATGCGGTGTTGATTGCTTCAGCCCAAAACTTCACTGGAATATTTCCTCCATGGATCATTGCTCTCGCCATTTCCTGAAGTGTTCTGTTCTTTCGATCAACAACTCCATTCATCTGTGGTGTTCTAGGCGCTGAAAACTGATGAGCTATGCCTTGTTCATTGCAGAAGTTCTTCATAGCCTCATTCTGAAATTCTCCCCCATGATCACTGCGTATGCGCTTGATGCTTCCTTTCTCATTGATGACTTGTAGTGCCCAAATCTTGAAACTCGCCATGGTGTCAGATTTGTCACGAATGAAGCGCACCCAAGTGTATCGCGAGTAATCATCCACTAGAACAAAGACATAGCGTTTGCCTGCAATGCTCTCCACTTGCATTGGTCCCATAAAATCCATGTGTACTAGATCCAGTGCTGACTTGGATTGTACATCTGGCACCTTCTTGTGCTGGACCTTCACTTGTTTCCCTTGATTGCATGGACCACACACGATTTTCTCACATCCTTTCAGTTTTGGAACACCACGAACAATCTCCTTATTCACCAGAGTGGTAAGATGGCGAATATTCATGTGTCCCAATCGCTTATGCCACAGTTCAACATCATCTCGCACACTTAGGCATTTTGCAGATTGATCCCACATGTAGCAGTTGTTGCCTGAACGAACTCCTCGTAGAACTGCCTTTCCGTCAGCATCAATGGCTTTACATTCTAGCTTGTTGAACCACACTGTTAAACCTTCATCGCATAGTTGGCTGACACTGATCAAATTTGACTTTAGACCTTGGACAAGATAGACATTCATAAGTTGTGGCTGCTCCTCAGATGTTCGTCCTTTGCCTTGAATAGTTCATTTGGTTCCACATCCAAATGTCACCTTTCCTCCTTTTAACTGCTTCACATCCTGCAGATTTTCTTTCATGCCAGTCATATGTCTGGAACAACCGCTGTCGAAGTACCACGTTCCTGTGTTGTCCACCTCATTGCTTTCTTCAAATAGTGCCATATTGGAGCAGAATCGCTGTCTTGTACCACCTGGTGCTGTACGTCGAGCATGATTCTGGTAAAGATCAGTCTTCCTGATGAAGACTTGGTTCAGTCCATGATTCCAGTAGTAGCGTCCTTGTCTCCAGGCGTGATCAACTCTAGCACAAAACTTGTTGCAGAACGCCTTGATATGACCCACAACTCCACAAAAATAGCACTGTTTCCCTTGATGTCCTCTGTGGCGATGTGATGCTCTAGCATTACTGACTTTCTTAGCCTCATATCCTAATCCCATGGTGGTCTTTCCTCGATTTTCACTCCTTAGGATGGGATCAGGTTTATGTGCGGATGATCTAGTCTCTGCTTGAACAACATCTTGAGCTATTCCTCCAGACACGAAAGTGACTGTCTTGCCGGTTGATCCACTTCCTGTTGAGTATCCCAGACCAAGATTTGACTTCCCAACACGACCAAGACTCAGGATCTTGTCGAGTTCCTTAGTTCCAGTCAACATCTTCAGTTGCTTTCGATGTTGATCTAACTCAGCTTGTAGACTCCTGGAGTTCTCCTTCTCCAAAAAGTACTCTTTGGTGATGTCATCTGCTCGTTTAACCGCTTCCATCTTTTCCAACATGATATTGAGATTATCCATGTTGAGATCTTTTTCCGCTTGAAGTGCCTTCTGAAGTTCTCCAACCTTTTCTTCAAGACGAGCATTCTCCTTTTTCAATTCGAGATTCTCTTTCCCGGTTTCAACCAAAGCATCACGAACTTCTTTAAAGCTTTCGTAGATATCAATCTCAGATTCTTCATCACTGGACGAGTCTTCGGTATCTGATTCAGATGCTTTTCTTTCTTCCACAAAATCAGAAATTCCGGCAAGGGCTATGAAGTTACTGATTTCTTCATACCCATAGTTTCCTGCATCAGGTATCACTTTTGACCTTCCCATGAAGTCCGGGTGATAGCCCTCTATTCCGCAAGATCTCACCTGCTATAGCAATACACACAAGGTGACTGCTCTGATACCAATTGAAAAACCAAGGGCTACTGATGCAGTAGTAGATCACAAACTGGGACGGGGTTTTCTCTACAAAGAAATATATTACTAGAAACTTCTTTAAGATAACTTACAAGTATATGCTTAAACGAACTCAACAATCACAATCTATCCACGATCTGGTTGCTGTTCTAGTAACTCTCACGTTCTCAGATCTATCCACGATCTTTGAACCTCTCAAACCCTAGCCCCCATTGTCCTAGCTTTCTTACAAGAAATCTAAACCCAAATATGCTAAAGCTCTCAAGTTTGTGATAGCCGCTTACAAGCAGCCAAGGTCCTCTATTTATACTCAATAGACAAACCGCCAAACCCTACAAGGTTTGTGTCTTGGTGATTACTCCAAATCTCCAAGGGAATATTTCCTTTCCTTATTTTTCTCTAAGAATAGAAAATATTCCTTTTGTCTTGATAGCCGCCTACAAGCAGCCAGAGCACCCTATCTATCCACAATAGGCGTGCCTAGAAACCCTACAAGGTTTCGGTCTTGATGATTGCTCCAAATCCTCAAGGGAATATTTCCTTTCCTTATTTTTCTCTAAGAATAGGAAATATTCCTTTTGTGTTGATATCTCCAACTCTCCTCATCCAGCTCAGCGACCGCCTCTTCTGGATTCGTCCTTATCCGCTACAAGCTCGCATCCAGCTCAGCAACATTCCTTTAGCTCCGTTAAGCTCCACTTAGCTCCGCTACAAGTCCGTCCATACGTCCTGATGCACTTCCTGACTGATTCACGATCTGCGTCAAACCAGTTGCATCTTCATAATCATTTGAAATAGAGTGACTTGTATACCTTAACAATTAAAAATGGTAAATATTTTAAAATTACTATATATTATGCTCACAGATTATCATGAAGAATATTATTTTAAAATGCTGGAGAAGAGTACAAGAGGAGAGAGAATAAAGGGTTGCTCTCTTCTGTCCTATCTAATCTATAGTCAAAGCAAAAGCCAAAGTTAAAAATAAATAAAAAACAACAAGAAGAAAAAAACAAACCAACACAAAACATATAAAATAAAAGTATATATGTATAAAGAAAAATATAAAAATTGGGTGCTTTGATTTTGGTACCCCGGAGACGACGGGATACATATGTTGAGAGAGAGAAAGAGACTCTCCTCTCTGACTCCTTTTTTATTTTCTCCCCCACTCTCTTCGCTTCCCACTTCACTCTCTATTCACTTATTTATTTAATTTCTTATACGTTTTTGGAATCAAATAAATTCAAGTTTCGGACCGTAGATTGTTCAGCTATACCTAAAGAGATAAATATACATTAAATATCAGTACGTTCTTTAGTTTATGAATAGCTCGTGTAGACATTTAGTTCGTAGTGATGTAGACTAAAATCAACCGGCTAGACCGAATTGTGAAGTCTAGTTAGAGCCAAGTCAAAGTGATATGTCGCTTTAAGCACGTAAACTTTCTTTTTTATCTAGCTGATTATAGATTTGTTTGTTTGTTAAAGCTAGCAGATTTATAGATTATGAATAATTTTAGCACTATGTTTTTTACTCCATATCTTTGATTTGTTAAATTGATCTTATATGTGTCGAGTTAACTCTGTCAGATATTTAAAACGTTATACTATTTTATCAAAATTCGATAATTCTTCATGTAAGAATTTGTGTTATTCATCCCCACTTTTGTTTTGTTTGGAATATACCTTTGTGTTTTGCCTTCCGAAGGTAGAAAGAAAAGGATATTATCTTATTAAAGGTATATTATCTTTTCTCTTCATCAAGTGCATACAGACATGCATGATACACTCTACACATACACATTCTTGTGTACAATACAAGGCGGTCAGTATGTGTGTACATAAACCATGCATGTGTCTATAAGAATTAACATATAGCGAGGAAAATTTCCAGCCAGAGAGTAGATTTTGTCTGTTTCCCTGAGTAAATAAAATCAAGTAAACCCTAAAGAACTTAAAGATTTGCTTCTAATTCCCTTTTCATTCTCCCAAATATTCCTTCTCAATTTAATAAACTTTTTTATAGTAGTAGTATTTTTCTTTGAATTGTCTTCTAAGAAAAATCAGCTATTCTCTCTCCTCACATGACCATCAGTATAACATAATCTTTTCTTTCTTGACCATCTCGATAGATCATAAATGCATGAAATAACAATAATATTCCTTCTGTATCACAACTAATGATAAGTATCAAATTTTTTCATGCACAATTAAGAATTTTTGTTAGTAAATTATAGTAATTTCTAATGTAATTTAAAACAATTTAACCATTAAGAAAATAAAACTGCAGAATATAAATGACCATAAAAAATTATTAAAAAATAAGTTCTTGAAAAGTTAAAACATCACTTAAAATAAAAAACAATTTTTTGGCTATCTAGAACATTAATTAATAATTATTCTGATAAGAAGGAGTAGTAAATTATAAAAATATATATATATATCTCCAAATTCAAATAAATGAGATTTCATGTCGTTCATTTTTTTTATATACTCCCTCCGTTTCAAATTAGTTGTCGTTTTGGCAAAATGTATCTGTAAATATTTGGACATATCTAGACATGTTTTGCATTGCAGATACATCCAAATAATTGCAGATACATTTTCCAAAACGACAACTAATTTGAAACGGAGGGAATATAATTTAAAGTATGCTTGCAGTTTTTAGACGTTTTTCTGTGAGTTAATGAAGATGCTAACAATCAGCATGAAAGTACTTTAATTTATAACATAAACCCTATCTACATTTATGTTCCCTTTTTCTGAACGATGTCGATTTATAATGTTGAAATTGGATTTTAATACACTAAATTTAATTTATAAGTACTAATGCAGTTGGTAGAAAATCGAGTTCATTAATTCCTAATATTCCAAACCTAGCCATATCAATTTTCATTGTGACCTACAGTATTTGGATACATAGTAAAATTATTTTGCATGTATATTACATTTGTTATTATATTATTTATGATTAAGATCATTTTAAGCCGAAGCATAGACTAATAATTTTCGAAATTTGTACACCTGGATTTTTTCAGAGAAGGTTATTTTCGTCGAAAATGGCGTTGTTTAATAACACGAAGTCGATTATTTTCCTACCAAATGAATGCCCACGTGTCTTCGACTCATTAGTTGCTAAATTTGGAGATATAATTTGTGTAGGTCCATCATATTGCATGTATGTCTTTAAAAGTTTATAGCTTTTCCCATATGCTTTTTGCTACGTGCATATCATTTTAATTTAATGGTTTTGACTATTGTCAGTAGATTGGGATTTAACGAAAACTATAATAACTTTCAGTATTAGCATTCAATTTTATAATAACTATTGGAAATAGAAATGTGATGCATAAACCGGATACCATCCGTTTTTTTCTGATTGCAATTTCACCGAAAAAACATATCATGACTAATACTGTTGTGGAGTGGAATGGCGAGATAATTAAGGGGAAAGTAGCTTCAATCAATTAGCTAGTGCTTTAAGTTGTGGAATTGCTAAAAAAAATTAGATTGCAATTTACACACCCAAAAAAAAAACTACATCCGTTAACCCAGCTAGATCACATAATCACTCGATGTTGTATAGATTAATTTTCAGAGATAAGTATGTGAATTAAGAATTAAGGAACTACTAAGAGAAAAGCATAACTAATCCGTCCGGATTAAGTGCTCACTAGATGGATCTAGATTCTATAAACGTGTGATAATATAATGCATGGACACTAACGTACGTCGGTGAGTGAGATCCAATATGACAAGGCTAATTAAATAATT